TCTTCGATTGTCATCAATTTTGCTCTCCTTTTTGTACCCAGAACGCCGGCAGACGATGCTCTTTTCGGCCACACAAACAGCACGCATTGAGGCGCTCTCGAAGCTGGCCCTCAAGTCGGAGCCCATCTATGTGGGCGTGCACGATGATGAGGTGACGGCCACTGTTGATGGTCTCGAGCAGGGCTACATTGTGTGCCCGTCGGAGAAGCGGCTGCTCGTGCTCTTCACCTTCCTCAAGAAGAATCGCAAGAAGAAGGTGATGGTCTTCTTCTCGTCCTGCATGTCCGTCAAGTACCATCACGAGCTGTTCAACTACATTGATCTGCCGGTGACGTCCATACACGGCAAACAAAAGCAAACAAAGCGCACGACGACCTTCTTCCAGTTCTGCAATGCCGAGACGGGCATTCTGCTCTGCACAGATGTGGCAGCTCGTGGGCTGGACATACCGCAGGTCGATTGGATAGTGCAGTACGATCCGCCAGATGATCCCAAGGAGTACATTCACCGTGTGGGACGTACGGCTAGAGGATCGGGCACGTCGGGCCACGCGTTGCTGCTAATGCGACCGGAGGAGTTGGGCTTCTTGCGCTACCTCAAGGCGGCCAAGGTGCCGCTGAATGAGTTTGAGTTTTCATGGCAAAAGATTGCTGACATACAGCTGCAGGTAAGGATCTCCGAAGGGAGTTTTCACCGGCACTTCCGACTATAAGCTTCCCCTTTTGCAGCTGGAGAAACTGATAGCCAAGAACTACTTCCTTAATCAATCAGCCAAGGAGGCCTTCAAGTCGTATGTGCGCGCCTATGATTCGCATCAGCTGAAGCAAATATTCAATGTGAATACGCTGGATCTGCAGGCGGTGTCGAAGAGTTTTGGATTCCTGGTGCCCCCAGTGGTTGACCTCAAGGTGGGCGCTGCCAAGCGACAGCGGCCGGAGAAGCGTGTGGGTGGCGGCGGTTTCGGTTACTACAGACAAATGAATGACACATCCGCCTCGAAGCAGCGCCACTTCAAGCAGGTCACTCGTGACCAGGCCAAGAAATTTATGCGTTAGTGAATTGTGCGAATAGTTTGTAAGACCCAAAACCAATTGTATAAGGTACAATCTTTTGCTGTTAATACACACATAAACCGATCTTTGTTCACGTAACTTTAACCACTTTTGGCAGCCGCATCCCACTCGAAACTCGCATCATCTCGACACGCGGATGTGGCTTCTCCTTATTTGTCTTTCGCTCGCGCTCTGTTTGTTTCAAATGTTTATTGTTGTCGCTGCCCCCAAATTTGGCACCAAAATGTGTTGTGTGGGTGAGCTGCTGCCAATGCTCTCAAAACTGTGTGCCAAATAGTCTGTAGTTCGATAATCGAACGTTTAATCAATTGGGGCGCCCACTGCACACTGCGTTGGGGGCCAATTGAAACAGCATTGAGCTGCCTGCCCGTACCAGTGATCAATTTTCTAATAAAACACGTTTCTCCCCCCCGAAGAGTCACCCACGAAATAAAATAAAAAACTAAATGCGCAACCTAATGAAACCAAAAACGTGGGACACTCAGACGACGCACTCAGCACGGACAGCCCATCAAAATGTAGCAGCAAATTGGAAGTTGGACGGCGTATGGTACGTGGGCGTGGGCTGAACGAATGTCTAAAACCAACAACGCCGTACGCCCACTGCGTTTCGCTACACCTCAAGCAGCGAAGCGCGGCTCCAACGATAGATTTCTGTGAATGAAAAGCCATGGTCCGCCCGTCGCCCCCTCGGTTCGATTCATTCATGCAACACAACAGATCGAAGTTTAGTTTGTGGCTTTGTGCTGGTTATAACCAATCAGCTGGCTTCGGTGCATAAAATGCAAAACTCGAGGGGGGACTTTATGAATGAATACAAGAGGGTGAAGAGAAAAGTGGAGAGGGGCAGCTCCACCTGTGGGCTGCTGCCTGTCTGTTGTGACACAGAAACTGCATTCGTGCAGGCGACAAATGTGGTGGTAATTGTCTTGAAGTGGTAAGGACATTTTCGATTCTTTTCTACAACTACTTAATTTCGGCTTTAGTTGCACATATAATATCCCTCCACATAAAAATATCCTTAGTTACTCCGTTGCATTTGCATTGCTCGCTTTTTTATGTGTCGCCTGTGCCCTTTATATTTTTCTCTTTCTTTTGAGTTGTTTCATCTCCCTGGTCAATTTACAGTTCTTCTTGTCTTCTGTCTTCACAATTGCGGTACTCGTGTGAGAGTGAGTGACTCGCTCAGAGAGGATCCAAGGAAGAGAATTTGAGAGCATTTGCCTGTGCAGTGAATGTGTGTGAGAAAGATAAAAATGATTACTGCGTAGCAAATAATTGTCTTTGAGCTCTGGTTCGCATGCAAAAATGTACGAAACAAATCTCGGGTGCACAGCGCCAAACTGTGTTTGACATTTTAGGGTGTTGTCTTTGATTTCCTGCTGCCTGCCTGCCTGTGTTTGTGTGGGTGTCAGAGACACAGAAGGCACAGGCTCCCCTCCCCTGCCATGTAATGCAGCGAAAACAACTACAAACTGGTTACTAGACCGGCTACTGCCTGACTGCCTGCCTGCCTGTCTTTTGGCCAACATTCTGCTAATTACAATCGCACACGGGCTATAGCCTGACTGCGGTTTTTCTGTGTCGGCTATAAATTAACCAATGAAATGCATAATTTGGCGGCAAAACACAACAGCCGCAGCCACACAAAGCCAAATTTGCATTTGTGACCATAAAACGTGCGACATACAGAAAAGGCAAACCCCACAACCAAGGATAATGCGATAGAGTGTGAATACTGACTGGCTGGGGGGCGCACTTCCTTATACGAACTGCGTCCCGTTTTGGAACTCTTTGGCCTGCCCGAAACAATTGAAATAAATTTCAGAGATCACAGATCAGATCTGAGCAATGATGCATTATAATAAATCACGCCTTGCCACAATTTTATTTCTTGACAAAGTTGTGTGAAAATTTCAGACCATTTTCCTACAGACAGCCAAGCACTTAACAACTGCTAGAAATTTTGTTGTTTTGGGATTTATTTTTTGTCAGAAAAAAAAAACGAAAGTGCTACCTAAAAGAAAAAATAGATCTTCAATAAAAAGCCAAAGGCCTAGAGAGATTAAGCGGCCCACGGAAAACATTAAGATCGCCCCGCCATCATGCCACAGCAGATGTGCTGTCCAAAAAATGTTTTCGTAGGTGTAAAGAGATTGGAAAGGGCTTTTAGATTGGAGGCTTTTGAAGAGTGTAAATCGAAAATCCAAAAGCAATACAATGTCTTCATCTTTACGCCACATTGACACATATTTCAAAGGCAATAAAACTGTATAACGGCCCACACACAATGACCATATGACCATAGCCCCATAGCCCCATACCTCTGGCAAGTGCACACAAATTTGGCGGACTTGTCTGGCGAGATCAGATGTGGATGTGGTCTGGTGGTGGGCGCCTGCTTGTCCGCCTGCCTGCTTTCCAATGTCCACGTCCACGTCCACGTCCACGTCCACTCTAAACTTTCACGTCTCATTTAAGTGCATGCGGGTGCTGAACACACGGAAGCCGCAGACGAGCCAAAGTCAACTGAAAACAAGAAAGAAAGGCTGACACTTTGGGGGCAGGTGAAGTTTTGGATACACTTTAGTAACGATTACTAAATGATTTTTCACTAAAATCAATCAATATATGCCTAAAATTAATTCACAAACTAAAACAAATCTTGCATTATGTTAGGGCTAATCGTCATACCCTCTCTCAGACAAGTGTACAAATGAAAAATTATATATTTTTGCTATGGAAAGTAAAAGTTGTCGCTGGCATAGGGTGGCTTATATGGTGCGTCGCCAGCGAGCAGCAGCGCCAGCGCCACCATCATCAGACCACTGCGAATGCCAATTTTCCCACATACATTTCAGCATTTCAGCATTTGGCTTAAAGGCAAAGGAGTTAACACCAACAAGGTACGGTGTTCATTTGCATGGGCTTTTGGCCAGCCCCCAACGGCTTTTGCCCCCGCATCTGTGCACAATGTCGGAGAACAACAAAACGTTGGCTTGGTTCTAATCTGCCGGCAATTTCCGTGCGTAATTAATGCCCTGCCTCCGTCAGTAACCATACAGAACATTAAATTATATACATGTGCATACATATGTAGCATCTATCCAGATTTTAGTGTCATACTAGCTATAATTTAGCTAGTAATCCCGCACCATCTGAAAACTCATTCAAATCTACGCCAACGCGCCAAATTGTTGATTATTTTTCTGCTAGGTGGCAACGCCAGCTTCATTGTTTTATAATATTCACTTTGTCAGCAATATTAAGCCTGTAATTTATTAACCCCATGTGTATTTAGCTACATTTGAGATGTCCTATAATTTGTCAACTCAATTATTTACATTTTAAGCGAAAATATCTGCAATAACCTAAACAGCTGCAACAACTCTATTCGATGCAATGCGCGATAATTAGGGTGTGACTGATATTCGAAACGTAGAGAGAGAGCCACACAAGAGAGCGCGTGACGTCACAAAAGCCAGATTGGTGTGGTGTTGTATGGCCGATTCACTAAAACACTTTATTATGGAATGTGTTAGCTGTAATAAGGATTTAATAAGGAAAAAAATACATTTTAAATTAGTAAACGTTGAGAAAAAATTAAAAAAGTTAGCTAAAATTACAACCACTATATACAAATATTTAAACAAAAAATTAAAAAAATGGATTGAAATATACATTTAAACTGCTAAGACCCTTTAAAAATGATTAGTTAAACCTCTAATAAATTTTATCTTCCCCTCTCATTACAACTTCTAGTATTATTATCGAAAACCGCCTTGTATTCAAAACCACACTTGTGACGTCATGCGAGTGAGCGATCGATAGAGAGCGAATGTAACAAATGCCACCCTCTCAAGCACACAGCACGATCGCACACTGTCGAGCTATCGCGCTTTATGCCTCGCATTCAGATTCTTTTTCTCTGTCTTCGCGCTCGGTTCAGCTGTAGGAATAAACGGTAAACGGAATCGCGTTCAAGCAAAGTCCCCGAGATCGATCCCCATTCGTTCTTCTCCGACTCGAATAATAAAAAATCATCACTAGAAAAGGAATCCTCATTCGCTTAAACCATAAGAAGTGTGTATATTGGAACATTTCCAACGCGTATTACAGTGAAAACCAAATGAAGGCAAACCCTAAACCGAAGAGATAAAACAGACAAACAGCAACGCTGCTGCTGCCCTGCCATCAACATAATCAGCAACTGTGCATATTTCTGCAAAAATTCGAATATATTCCAGCGAATGTCGCACTGGAATTCCTGCAGTTGTGTTAAATAATTTCATAAATTTGTTAAAATACGCTGGAAAATGTGTAGAATAATTTGCATTTAAAATTATTTTCCTTTTTGTTGTATTTGCTCTCTCTGCGGGGCTGCAGCAGCCGTGCCTGTGAGTGGGAGCGAGCTAGCAGATATTTTGACATTCTGCTTTCATTCATCTCCGCCGCACTCACGCTCACTATCATATTAACTGCGCTCTCTTCTCTGTCGCCGTCTGGCTGCCTGCGAGAGAGTGTGTGTGTGTGTGTGTGTGACTCTGGCCTGCCTCTTTGCACACACGATCGATCTGCAGCGGCGGCGCTGAGGAATTTTCTGTCTTCTCGCTCTATCTGTCTCTCCTGGCTTTGTGAGTGTTGATCGCTCACGCAGTTTTTCGTCTCGTTGCTGTTACTGTTTCTCAAAGGCAAAAAAATAACCGAAATATTTTGGGTGGAGTTGTTTTCATTTCGTTTTCTCTTCGGCAAATACATAATAATAACACATTGCCCGTTGTGTCTCTCTCTTGCAGTAACGTGTTAAAGAAAATTAAACAAATTGTGCAATAAGTAAATGAAATCAGAGAACAATCAACGAAATAAAAGAATCTCTCAAGAGTAAACAGTTTTCATTTCAAAAGAATAAACAAATCTACAGAGCAACATTCTCTCTCACTCGTTTGCTCTCTTTCTCTCACCTACACCCCCCACAAACTCACTCACACACACATTCACCAACACAGCAACATAATGAGTGTTTGTGAGAGCAAAGCCGTTGTGCAACAGCAACTGCAACAGCAATTGCAGCAACAAGCAGCCGCTGCCGCCGCCGTAGCAGCCGCTGCCGTCGCACAGCAACAACAACAACAGCAGCAGCAACAACAACAGCAGCAGCAGCAGCAGCAACAGCCCCCGCAAGTGGTGGTGCCCCATCTGACGCCCCAACAACAGCAACAGAGCACACAGAGCATTGCCGACTATTTGGCCCAATTGCTGAAGGATCGCAAGCAGTTGGCGGCATTCCCGAATGTTTTTACGCATGTGGAGCGACTTTTGGATGAAGGTAAGCACAGAGAGAATATGCCTGTTGCAGAATTTGCCTTGTAGGAAAGTAACATTTTGGGGTTAATGCCACACATTTTAAAATGAAAAACTAACTTCCTTTTGCTCTGTTAACCTTAACAGTTTAGATTACTCTACTAGAGATCTGGCTTAAATTGGTCAAAGACCTGTCTGCCACTCTCCGTTTTGTTCTTCTCTGCCCATCTTCTGTCTGTCTCCTTACCATTCGAGTTCATTCCACCTTACAGCAGAAGAGCGGCGGTTGTTTGTTATTTTTAGTTACTTCCTTTTTGTGCGCCTCTTCGCGAGCGACTCTCACTCATTGAATTTCTCTCCTTTGGGAATCTGTATCGTTCTCTCTCTCTCTCTCTCTCTCTCTCTCTCTCTTGTTCTGTCTTTGGCCTCCACTCATGTCTTATGTTGCGTTCCCCTTTTGCTTTTGTTGTTCTTATTATGAATTCTTTGTTGACTTGGCCATTCGTACACAACAGAAAGAGAGAGCGCGCATGATCTGAGAGAAGAGATGTTCCGTTGCATGTCCCCTCCCTGGGGGGCAGCATCATCATCATACTCCACTCAAGAGTTTCGGCTACATTGAAGTGCGGTAAAAGTGTAGCACTGCCGCCGACGCTGCCCACGCCCGAATACCAGCCAGCCTTAAGGCAAAGGCAAACACACTTTTTGAGGGAAAACCAACAAAAAGTCAACTTACGGGAAACGAGGCTGGGGCGTGTGTGTGTCTGCCAGCCACTACCTGGTCGCATCTCGCAGTGCTCTATAAGTATTTGTGTATCAGTGTACGACTATCTCTCTGAGTGTGTGTGTGTGTTTGCCCAACATCTGTTGCCCATATGCATATAGAGCCCGTACTATGTGCCTGCACGGTAATGACAAAATTATGTTGCACAGATCTACACCAAACTACACTACACTACAGCTACAGCTACAGATACCGAGTTTTCGATTTTGTTTTTGCTTTTAATGTATTCGCATAGCTGCAAACTAGTTTCCCTCTCAACAAATTGTATTTGCTAAAGGCAAAGCGTTGACAATTTGTAAAACTCGTTCGACCACCAGACACAAAAATCACTCAAGAAACAACAAAAAAACTAAAACTAAAACAAGAATGTTCCGAGGTAATATTATGGACTAAAGCTATACCCGTTAGACGCATTTTGGGAAATTAAATGGAATATAAATACCTTTTAAAGGAAGCAAAGGTAAAGGCTTTGAAGAAAAGTTGTAATAATTCCATTCTTAAAATTCCTAAAAAATATTTCATAATAGTCTCACACTTGAAATTCGTTTGTGCTGCCTGCTGCACATAAAAACAGCATACCCTTGCATTACCAGGGTACCGCAATCCGTGCTATGGTCTCTCGGGGTTAGCTGTCTTATCAGCTTAGTGGGAGTGAGCCACAAGCCACACTCTTGCCAAAATATAGCACTCGGCGTGCTCTGGGGACCACAGCTTGTACACTGGACGGCTTTCAACTTTTCAACTTCTGCTTCTGCTGGGGGGCTGCCTTTTGCCTCTCCCTCTAGGGGGTTACCTCTGCTAGAAGTTTTTTGTGTTTTCCTCATTTGGCAACTTTCTCTTTTCAATTGCTGTCGTCGCTTGTTGTTTTCTCTGTTTTGTTTTCGACAACATGCGGGTCAAAACGAGGCAAAAATATTTTACATTCATATGTGTACATGTGTGTGTCCCGCAGAACCTTAAAAAAATAGTGACTTGCCATTCCTTTAAATTTGTTACATTTAAATTGTTCAAGAAGGATTTTGGGAATTTTATACATATTTTGAACTGTAAGCAGAGATTGACAGGAACTTAAATTGCTTTAAAGTGTTTTATTTTTTATTTTATTAAATCTAAAAAATATCAAAATTCTGAAACTCTTTAATGTCTGAAAACTGACAAATTCTTAAGCTGCTTAACATAATTTTGCATATACTTTTTTACACACATATTTGCGCTGTTGTTCGGTTGCGAGAGATCTAATTAGGTTCCTGCCTTACCCCAAGCTGCGGCAGAAACACAGCCACAGCCACAGCAAACAACCAACAATAACAACAACAACAAAAGCCTAAGGACCGACGGGTGTTTGAGGTTGCGGTTTCTGAGAAGATATTCCAATTGTGGTTGTTGTTGTGGGGGGTGTGCAACAATGTTTGCTTTGGGTTTGTTCCTCTTTGGGGTTCTATACTCATCCGTGGGGCAATACTACCTGTTGGGGCGTCTGTTCATTTAATATGCACAGCTTGTGATTACATTTGAATAGATAATAGTGTGCGTGTGGATACAGTGCGGAACTAAATTATAGTTTTAATAGAAACAAAACTCATGCTCTTAACCCGTCTACATGTGCTGGAAAGAGAGAGTGTTTCTACTGTAATCCCACATCTAGCGCCCATTTCTTTAAGAATTTTTAGCATCATATTCTAGAACAGTACCATCGAAATTCATATAAAAACAGTTCGGTCAGTTTATATATAATAAAATAAATTTGGATAAGTTTTTGATAACAATTTCAAGCAATATCTTCTCAGAATTCATTGTTACAAATCGATAATATCCCCAAAGGATTTTGCGATAAATAATTTATGATTAAAATCGATTTTTGATCGATAAATTACATTATTTTAGAATTTAATTTCGAATTTTGACATTTTTCCTTTCAATTAAACCCATGGCCAGTCATTCAAGAAACGCACTGTACAACCACGTACATTTTGTATATGTAGATATTCTTTTCTACATTTTACTCTTTTTCTGTTTATTTGCCGCGTTTTTTTGTATCGTCGTCTTCATTCCGCTCGACGCTTTTGGCACTGCTGACATAAATTTTGTGTTGCTGTGTTGTTTGGTTTTCGGTTTTCTGACTCACGCCGCCGCCCCAAACGAAGGCGAAGAATAAGTTTCGGCGGTCGAGTCGAGTGCACAGAGCGAAAGAGAGGGGATCGGGGCGCTGGCATTCGTTTGTATTGTATCTGTTAGATAGCTTTTATGACACACGCCGCTGGAGCACGTTTCTTCGGTTTGTAGCCTCTGGTATATCTGTTGCTGCAGTTGTATCTGTATCTGTATATGTATCTGTATCTCCGGACGAGTGCTGACTGCTGGCTGCTGTATTCTGTTTCGCTGTTGGCCTATTCATAGTCGTCGCATTTCGCACAGTTGAAGTGTGCCTAGACTGTGGAAACACTGGATGGACTGTGTGGAAAACGTCAAGCCAGCAGCACACACACTCGGATTACCGGCGACGCGATGCCGTAGTCCAAGCATAACTGCACGTACTATACGATCCGATCCGATCCGATCCGAGAGCCCAGAGATCTTTCTTCCATCTTCCGCATGACGTTTGTTTACACTGCCGCTAAAAAAAGAACCCCCAGATAGCAAACAAAAGCCAACCCATCTTTTTGATACACTTCATAGCGAATGATGTATATTTTGATGAAAAAGGAGACGACGCCCCAACCTACACCTGACCGAAATAAATTATATGTAAATTACTATAGAGCCTGAGGTGGATCTCTCTCGAATTGCTAACCGATCCCCATGCTACAGGAAAATAAAAATCAAATTACTCGTACGCCCGCATGCGGAATATATCTATAAGCATGCACACAGATACAGCTATATATTGCTGTATATATATAGACACACATACACACACACACACACACATATATTCTTGTGTTTGTATCTTGGCATTTCTCAGATACACAACAAAAAAAAAGAAAAAGAAATCGTTCTCTTCTCACCATGTCCGACATTTTTCATGAAAATTTTGAAATGTGTTTCATTTCATCTAAATTTAGATTATTGGAAAAACGAAATGGCTTGTCGGCCTTTCCATCGTTGGAATTTTCTCTATGCTACCGTTTTAGGGCGTTGTTTTTCCTGTGATTCAAAGTGGCAGGGTCGGCAAGGGCGGGGATTTGATCATTCAAATTGGTATTTAAAGTGCTTGCCAGCTTGTTGACACTAATGGTGGTCCATCGAGTCGAATGCAAACAAGCAGCGCGATGCCAAAATGCAAACAAATTACTTGAACCTTTGGCCATGGGACAGCTGCCCATCCATTCCTCTCTCATTACAAAAGTTACATTTGATGATCGATCATCAGCGCTTCCGAAAGCATTCAACTTAACGATCGATTAGGTTTATCCCAGAGTTGTTAACGATTTCGATTGCCAATCTTTGCATTCTGTTTAGAGGCTGTTTATGGGCCATGTTCAAGGTTTATTCTGGCATATGGCATGGAAAAAGCAATTAAAATACATAAAAAAAAACAAACTGATTGAAAAATTATCGAAATAATCGTTTACAGTCATGCATTATCGATAGCATATATTTATTTATCGCTCCATGGAGTTGCCCATCGCTTCAGCATTTTAATTTGAAATTTGCCACCACTACCTCAGGTTCCATCAATTTTCGCTCCTCCTACTCCTCCTAACTGACGTGATCATAAATTTGTTGACAATTGTTATGCGGAACGCGTAGGCACGGACAGCTGCTGTTTATAGCGCAGAAGCAACCAGCGCACCCGCACCCGCACCCTCGAAAGTGTCCTCCTCCAACCGACCAAACGAAATCATTCAAATCCAAAAGCGATTCCACGTCTCATTGCGTTTTCAAATTCAATTAAAATCTTTTGTCAACGAGCAGCCAGCGATCGTACGTCGTTTGGTTTTGTTTTGATTTGTGTTATTTGTTTTATTGGCCGTTTGGATGGGTTGGTTGGGTCGCTTGGTTGGGTTGGCTCTTTCTCTCTTTGTATCTGTTCGTATAAATGCAATCAAGCATACGACCACCGCGGAAGTTGACCAAAGCCTAAACCAAAACCAAATGAAGCCATCGACACAATACCAAAACTAATATGACTCTCTCAGTGGCAGTTGCAATTCCCATTGCATTTTGTTGCATGTAAAGGGCATTGATCGTTGATCGTTGATCGTTGATCGACCGATTGGGCTGGATCCCTCCATATGTTT